ATCTCAATACATACTTTATCATCTAATGTATCAAAAAAATAAAACAAATAATATCCCTATGTTAATTTTTATTTTTATTTTTATTATTATTATTTTATAAGGATAATAATTAATAATTAAATTATGAATTGTTAGTAACTGAAAATTTAATTCTTAAAATAAGTAATCACTCACCGCTCTCCTTATTGAGGCGCACGACCTATCAAATCGCATGGTAAAACTCATCCCTACGTTAATTAGATACTCTATGAACTATGAAGTGGTCAAAATCAGTACCTACCTTAGTAATTTGGAATGGGAACGCACTTGCATGTGTTTGAATGTATATCATCAATCAGTATTCATAGGTCGGCTACCAAAGTAGGGGCTGACTTTGGTATTTAATGATTTGTCTAAGTATTTTCCTTTTGAGGTTATAAAGTACCTCTTTCTGTCATGAAGAGCACCGACTGCGGGGAAAATGGGATTCCATTTATTAGATGTTGATTATTCCTTCACTGACTCAAGGAGAAAGGAAATTTTTGTTATTTCTTATTTATGTCTGACATTGCTCCAAATGATTAAAAATTTAGCATTTTAAATTAAAATTTTTAAATTTAAAATTTAAAAAAACATAAAAAAAAAAAAAAGTAGGAAAAAGAAGAGTTATCAACGCATAACTCATCATCTAATTATACAAAAAAAAAAATTCAATGAAATGACTCAACAATTAAAAATTTAAGATTTTAAGTTAAAAATCTTAAATTTAAATTTTGAATTTAGTGAAAAAAAATTTAAAAATAAAGAAGGATTGTCCTTTTATAGTTCATCATTAAATGTATTAAAAAATACAAAAAAATAAAAAATCCTATTTCTGTGGCGGTCCGCAACACATGGCTGCTCCTGGACCAGCAGGAAACGAGTCAACTTGAGGCTCAAGTCCATGAACAAATCTATCCAACAAAAGCCCAAATCCAAATAGGGAAGAAAAACGAATGAGTCTAGGCTCAGGTGACATAAATTCCTGAAGTGGCCCCAGAGTTGTTGTGGGTCGGGACTTGGGAGACAGGATCGGGCTCAAGCGTCAACAGTGGCACAAGAATCATTCT